ATATATATTGAAAAATATACATATAAGAAAGTATTTTAATACTTAATACTAGATAAATATAATTTATCGAGTATTAAATCTATTGAATCTCTAGCTATTAAATTGCCGATCGAATTACGTATATCAGGATATGTAATCAAGATTTGTAATTTTGTACTTGGAATTAATATTTATCGATATTCGCGTCTATTATTTTTCCTATTTTACATTTTGTAGCTATCTTCATAGTATGCAACGATCGATCTCACGAAACCGTTAGTCCGAGACCGTTAAACATTTTTGGCGTGTATCAATGCTGTTGAAAAATATTACTGTTATTATAAAAGACTTTTTAATTGTGATATATTTTATAATTATTAAAAATATATGATTATATATAGTATAATGATCATATAATGATACATATAAAAGTAAAATTTTATACGTATTATAAATATAAATATAGATAAATAATTATAAATATATACAAAATCGTTGCATGCTACGAAAAGACAATTAATTGAAAGGACATAAATGAAAAGGTGTGAATATCGAAACATATCATTTTCATGCTATATTTTCGAACAAAAATGATATCGAGCGATTCTTATTGATGGCTTTTAAAATTTTTAATAATATAAGTACAATGCAATAATGAAAATCAAACTAAATAATACCGTTTAAGATGACATGTAGGAAACAACAATACATACAAATATTTTTCTACATTTTATTATTATCATTGCTAAAATAGTAATCAAATCTCAGTGACAGCTCGCATCGAGTGCTAAGTAATTAATTTTTAATTTGTGATGATCTAGTATCCTAAATATATCACTTTGTAAATATTTTATCGCGAAAGTGGATATTTCTGATATTGTATTTCTGATATTGTATATTTTCCGTTTTGTAAGAATGTATCGGACATTCTATAAGAGTGAAATATTCAATGTGTATGCATCTGGATGTATGTGAGTGTGTTTATACATTTATTTTTTTAACAAGTGACTAAATAAATTGCCTTTTACAATTTTCAAGTACATTATTCATTTATTTCTTATATAAATTAATGACTACTTTGGAAATAAAAAAGTTTACTCATTTAACATTATAACCTGTCATACATTTGTAAAATGTACAATGATGAACAATCTTCATTTCAATAAGTAATAGATAACAATCGTTTACCTTCGCAATAGCCGCAGTTTACATAAAAGTTGATCAAATTTTATATATCGCTGATATGAAATTTTCATAAAGCTTATTTTGTTGAACTGCTAGTACAAATGTCTTTACTGGGAGGTACTAATTGTAAATTATATCTCTTTGTATTGTTTTGCATTTTATACATATTTTGTAATAATTATTAATATATTTATAGAATACTCTATTTTACATTTTGCATTTTTTTCGCATTTAATCTAATTATTTTTTTCAACATTTTTAAATGTTTCTAAAATTTCACTATTACAATATGTATATGAAAATGTATATTACTTTCTCTTCTATTCATTAATTGTATTTAAGCTATCTTTTCTTTTTCATCTTTCTGAAAAGAAATAAGTAAAATTATCCTCGTTTACATTTTTTATTGCAGTATATCGAACCACAGAGACATGTTTTATAAAAAATAATGCATAATTCCTGTTGCTGGCATATATGTCCCTTTAAAGTTTAAACTACATTTCTGGCAAGAAACTGATCAAGACTTTGTCCATTGAAACATACATACATATACAGTTATTTTTTATATATATATGTGTGTGTGTGTGTGTGTGTGTGTGTGTGTGTGTGTAGTGTGTGTGTGTGTGTGTGTGTGTGTGTAAAATAAATCTTCTAGGAAAATATATATTGCAATAATCATTCAAATGAATTCTTAGGCCGCACATATCATTAATAAATTACTCGCTGAATAAAATTGTACCAGTATAATTATACATAAATAATCGTGTTTTCATCTTAACGCCGGAGAGTCTTATAATCTTCTTCCCCCGCAAAGGGTACTAGGTTTCGCCAAGGCACTTCTCACTTGTAGCAAGAAAATATCCTCGGCACGGTTATCCCCCGGATGATCGGTACATTTACGACCGATACATTTAAGCTTTCCCTCTCGTCCGTCCGCCGTTTTCTACGTTTTCAAATCCGGCTCCACGCTCTCGGTTACCGCTACGTATTTTTTTCCTACACTCGATCACAAATATATCTGGACTTTAGTTCGGGCACAGTTGTCACCGTGTGTTACACACGCTACATCGTAACATTATATGCATTATATTACACACGTACATAATTCTCACCGTGCACCGTATTAAAACTTTTTATCGGTATAGAAACAATAATATGATAGGTCGTTCGCTACGAAAGTACAAAAATAAGTATTATCGTGGCGGGAGGGGGAGGGGGAGGGGGGAGGGGAAGGGGGAGA